TTCTCGCATGTTAAAATTTTTTATTGTAATTAAATTTTTTTAAATAAAAAATACAATTATTTAAATTCATAAAACTTTGCAGTTACAATGATGGAAAACATTGATTATAATGATTCTGATAGTGAATCTGTAGATGAAATTGAAAACTTTTCTATTCTAAACTTCAATAATGATACATATCAAAATATTAAGGATAAAATATTACAACTAGATGGCGATGATAATAAAGACTATAACTTTAATAGTGAAATAGAAGAAATTATATTACATGATGAGTTAGATGAAGGATTTGATAAAATTATACCAAATATTCCTGAAAATAAAGATAATAAATACACATCTTGTGTCATTATAGATAATGACAATGATAATTACAAAATACAACGATGCAACGGAATTGATGCTAACTGACCTCTTGCACAACTTAAGAGTACTTGGGAAATTGATCGTAATATTGCTGAACAATATAATAGAAAATTAAATGAGCTTGGTATCTGTTATAGGTATTTTCTTTATGATCAAAATCAGCTACATTTAAAAAAAATTCAAACACTAGAAACAGACTGTAGTATTCTTCATTATGCGAGATACTTATTTTGCAATAAATATAAATGCTTCTTTACACATGGTGAGGGTTGTTCTAAGTATTCGTGGATAATATGTGGACGTAATATTAAAGTTCCATGTCTAGGACTATGATCATGTAAAGTATTACAAATCTGTTACTCAGTTTCTGTTTTGTCAACAAATAATACATGATCCTTATATATTTGTTCAGAATGTTATGAGGCAGATAGTAGTCATCTACATAGAAGGTATAGTAAAGGAACTAGAGAAACAGACTATAATGAGAAACATGATGACTTAACTAGAGTTTTAGAAACATTTGGAAATTGGATTCAGTTAGTAGCAAAATCGGATAATATAATACAAAAACAACAGCTTATCTGGTTATTGTTGCTAGCAGTTGAGTCGTTAAAGCCTTATTTGCCGCAAGAATTGCTTTATAAACCAATAAATCCAGATCCTTCTAAACGATTTGTTATGCCGACTCTACTAATTACTCAAATAGCATTTCAATTAGCAAAAATAGATTTAAGTATTAAAGCAAAAGCAGCATCTTTAAAAGAAAATGAGTATACATACTTCGGAAATCTTCTTGGAAAATCTTTATAACAATCACGCATCTCACTTAAAGATAATTTGCCAATATTAGAAAATCCTCAATCGCTTGTACAATATGCTTCGGTATTAATAGTCTTATTATAGTTCTTTTTGTAAAAAAACATGAAATTGCTGAAAGAAAAAAAAAATCACGTGGATCACCATCAATTCCATTAAATTTAACATCAATTAAAAGAATCACAATATTTTTAGTATCAATTGTGATGGGAATTTCTTTCCATCATTGGAAAATTTGGTTACTTCATGTCTTGGGCTCACTTTGTAGACACCCAAATATGATTTCAAAGCTTCATAAAATTCTTCGTTCTGTATATATAATTTCTTATGTTTGGAATCATGAAGTTCGTACAGAAAGATGGTGCATAGAAAGTGCTAATCCTGCTAACAGACTTGAAACTACAAGTAATATCTATAATTTATCAGTTATTGATAATATTAATATAAAATAAAAAACATTCGTATATGGAAATATTTATGATACTGCACGGCAAACTGCACATGCTACTCTATAAATCACATTCCAGTTTAAACTTCCTCCAAATTTGCCTGATAATCTTTCAGTCTTTTTTTCTAAACAATCGAGCCAAGTTACGATTGGGTTATCAATAGTTACAGATAATCTAAATAAAATTATGATCGAATTTTTGAAGAACTACTTTTGGAAAAGAAAAATAAATTTGATATTAGTGATATTCATCAAAAGGTTATTGAAACCGTTGAAATAGGATGCAAATTTGATAAATCAAAGATAGTAATTCTAAAACCCGGTCCGGCACCAAATTCCAATAAAAATGCATATAAGACATGTGATATATTTTTAAATGATGTAGCAAATACAGGAGTTAATATAATCAATATTGCATGTGATGAAGCTATTTTTCGAAGACTTAAAAATTATGAAAATAAAGATCTTACCGTTAATATTATTCTTGAACAGTGGCACACTTCAAAAGATATGTACCAAGCCTTACTTGCAGCCTTTTCTGGTTGCAAATAGAAAATCTGGGACAGGTTATATCAATCTTCGAATTTCAAACCCAATAGGATTTCAAATATTAATAACAATAATAATATTTAACGTTTAAGTTTCGAAAAAACATAAAATTTTTGTATTATACAGATAGGAATATAATTTGCTCTAAAATACAGAAATATAATTTTTTTGTTAACATTTTGCATTATTTTAACTCTTTTTTTCTTTTTTTTATATATATGTATTCTTTTCCAGTTTGTTAGTAGCTGCCGTCAAAGAATGTCCATTTTTTCCTTTGGCCAATTTTCTTTTTATTCATTATATACAGAAGCTGCTTAAAGCGAAATTTGTGTCCTATAACAAATTTAATAAGCATTTGTATATAATAGAGTTAGAGAAGTAATTTTTTCCTATTTGTATATTACGAGCTTTTCTATAACTGTAAATAAAATTTTCTAAAGTAATTTTTGCAGATTTTCCATTGCATTTTAATATTTAAATTGTCTTCAGTTTCAATAGTATTTTTACTACAGTATTATAAATAAATAAAATATTATTCACGCTTAATAAAGGGTCGCAGTTTTCAGTTTTTAGCTTGGATCATTTTATTCGAATATAATTAATTTGAGTTTTTAGTAGTTTTTTATCATATAATGAAAAGATTTTTTAATGATTATTAATTCAGTAATCAGAGTTAACATAACCTGTCCCAGATTTTCTATTTGCTTTCTGGTTATGGAATTTTTAATATAGCATTGTAGCTTGGTGTTTGATATTTAAAGAATTTAGAGAAAGGTTCAGATTATTGTGCAACATGTACAGTTCTTGAGCTAATCTAGGCAGCAGTCAGAATTGCAATTCGCCATCATCTACAAGATACAAATAAAACTATTGATGACATTAAAAATAGGTCTAATAATATTTTGAAAGTTTGGTTAAATTATTATTGGTGGGCAGATTATTAGAAAGTACACAAAATTGGAATTCGAAGAGGAAATTTTGATTTGCAAATTGCATGTCTCGCTGCATTTGCACCACCTTTTCCGGTTACTAGCAAATTTAGATATGCAGAATCAGTCGCTATTTTTTTAGAAAAATTACATAAAAACACACAACTTCAAAAATGACTATATCAAGTACTATCTATTAATATTATATATGAAGAGCATTATCTAGCATATGATGAGGCTTTAGAGATATATAGTGTTAAATCTGTTAAAGAGGTGATGACAAAAAAATTTGGAGATGAGAAAAACTTACACCGACAAATACAAAAAAGCCAAGATGAAATTAAACAACTATCAGTTCTTGATTAATTTGTTGTCCAAGTAATAGATATTGATGATCATGTTGTACCAAATCGACTTAAACAAACATGGGCTTTAAGTGAACAGATATATAACGCATTTCAAAATCCAGATCCCAATAGTCATTCTCTTTTTGATTACACAACCCAAAATACTACGAAAGAATTCTTTAATATGGAAACTTGTTATCAACATGGAATAGAACGTATGCAAAACCTTCTTGTGGAAGAAGTTTACTTGACTAAAAAAAAAAAATCAAAGGGAAGAGGAATTAAAAACTTGGTTAAGGATTCCGTAGCGGCTTTAAAGCAACGAAAGAAGAAACAAAAAAATACTCAAAATGAGGATAATACTCAAAGTGAAGATAATGCTCAAAATGATAACGATACTCAATATGAAGATGAATAAATAGTATAATAAATCTTTTTTGTTTCACAGCCCAGATTTCATCTAAAAAAAAAGATATATACTTTATTATACAGTATACTATATTTATCTAAAATACAAAATCTTCTATTACTATACTTATCTTTGAACCAATTGTATTATAATTGTTGCAATTACAACTCTAAACCTAAATAAATAAAAAAACATAGTACCGAAATTGCTTCAAAAGAACTTTTTATATATAATATTAAGTGATCTACTTACTATAAAACTGTTTTTCTTAAATTTCGCAGTAAAGTTTATAATTTACTGACCTTTCGAACATGCATTTTGTCAAAAGATCTAACATTGGCACATCTAATGAATCATTAATTCTGTTAAAAAGTTGCAAGCTTGAAAAGAATCTTCTAAAAGTATATAAAATAATTACCTACTTTCGAAAGCATTATATTCTATGTAGAGAAATTTATATGTTGTATTTTTTATAGCATTTGATTCGTAAAAACTTCAGTAATAAACTTTTTTAGAAGTATTTTATATATTTTAACTACAGGTTTAAAAAAAATTTCAAAAGTGTGAATTTGTCGATTTGTGTAATTTATGAAAATCATATGATAAAAATCGTGATGTGACAAATCATGCGACTGTTATAATTATGAAAATCTTCTGGGTCTTATGAAGATATTTAATCTATTTTATAACAATATAATATAATATAATATGATGTTTTTAAATCTGGATATAAATAAATCTGGATTTGAGTTTAAATCTAAATTTATACTATAATAAAACTGGATTAATCCGGATATAAAAAATATATTTAGATTGAGATATTAACTCTAGTTGTATTACAATATAAAAGATATATTCAAATTTATCATATATATAGTATTGTAGTAAATAAATATAACAAATCTTGAGGTTGTGGCGACTTAGTGAAGTGGTGAAGTTGTCGTACTCCCAAACAGCAGGTCTAGAGTTCGAATCTCATGGACGATGATTTTGAAAAAACTAAATCTGTATTAATTAATGTTAAGATTATTAGTTGGATCCAGATATCTGTAATTCTGGTCACACCATCTTGAATGGGAGCTTTGGCACAATAAATCCAGGAAACCGAAATTACTGAAAACCCATTTGGCAAGTCCCGAGTTGGGAGTAGCAGTGATCTTTAACGGTGCTACAGGAAGACTGAATTTGGAACCAGAAACTG